ATTTCTCTTCAGGAGATGTAAATGTGATCACAATAATAATTTCAGAAAGCTTGTAATCCATTTTGACGATGCTCAATCCAGACACTTGTCTGAGTCCTTTTGATTTATAGTAATTGATTCATGAAGGAATCCTTGTAGTGCACACAAAGAAAGGCCACTGCAGCTCAGCGGGACTGCTGTAATTTGAACTCTGGCATTATCTACCATCCCCACAGCAGAGCTCAATGCTTGAAATTGTTGTCCATGAATGCAAATTTATGGGTGCTATATCACTTTCTGAGGATCTCTAATTCTGTTGAATTGCCAAAACAGGGTTTTCCCCCCTAAACCTGTAGTGTTAACATCCTGCAGTGACTAATGCGATTCTCTGCTTTGTACGTTATTATGACTCCCAAAAGATCTTCAAAAAACAGCGGAGGAACTCTCTTGCTTAATCACGTTGGAGTAACTCTGTCAACGAGAGGGTAATTTGCCTCAGTTTGCCGCGGCGTAATAACAGAATATTAGGAGGGGAAACTCCCAAATCCCAGGATTCATTAGTACAAGTTCATTCCATGGTGGCCGTCCCGAGGTGATTAAAGGGCATTAATCTGTTGGCCGTGGCACAATAATCCATTGGTGGTGCTGGCTGAGTTCTGAGTGCGAGCACAGATCTCATGAGTTGGATGGGGGGGGCGGTTTGCATCGGTGGCCTGTTCAGACTCCGAGTAGGAATTCACTGCCTTCACCTTTTGTCCTTCTTTTTTTTTTTTTTTTTTTTTTGTTTATCGGAAGCTGTCGTGAGCGCCTCTCTTTGCGTTGTTCCATTTTCTCTGCTCCTTCGCTGAACCTCATTTCTGATTTCCACCACATCAGAAAGGTCAGCCTCATGTTAGAAACGTTAAAATAAAGTTTAACTTTTTATACAAGCGGGGGCCAACAGTCCGGAGCCAACAGGGATGCCCGACACCACGTCGAGCTAAAAGATGCCAGTTTGTCCCGCTGTTCTCGTTGTGGCTCTGCACGACGTAGAAAAAGACCAAAAAAAACGTCTCTTTAAGCATTTCCTGGACGCATTGGGAGTGACGGGTCGCGTAGTGAGACGTGAAAGGTCACGTTGACCTGGAATGACGATTTTCACAGCGTTACTAAATGAAAAGGATGGTCTGAGCCAGCTTTGTGCAGCGTACCCGGAATGTCCGTACCAACGATGCTTTGTAGATGCAGAGATTTCTCTGGATAAGTGGAAAGAGGAAATGTTGCCGTGGGCATTTGTGCCACATTAAGTGGCTGAATGCTTCTGAAAAAGCGCTCTGGTCTTGCAACTCGCGCCTCGCCAGCAGTCGGGGAGGCTTGTTCTGCATCAGCAGGAGGACGACACAAACAAGTCACTCTTTTTGACATCCGGAATCTGCTTGATGTTACGCCGTCGGGGGACTGGATCGTCCTGTCGTCGGCTTAACGGGATCCTATGCTGAAGCTCCAGGATCCCTCGGGCTCCCTGATGAATCCATATGATTAAGACCAACCGCTCCAGGTAATGCATCACTCGGGTCGGCGTGGTTAGGCGCTGCCCCAAAGGGCAGGCTGTTCATGGAGCACGCGCTTGTTTCAAGCGTCTGTTGTGGAGAAGTGTTGTTTTGTGCGTTATACTCCTCTGGCAGTTCATATTGCTGCTAGATATCCCCAAAAACTTGGTGTGAAATAAGAACTGTGGGCAACTGTGTCTTGTGTTTAATTATAGAGTAGACGAGTTGTGCTAGCTGCAGAGTCTGCCGTCTTATTTTGAGTAACACATTTGTTCAGTTACTCCGCCACACCCACACTGCTTTTGTTGATTTGATACCGTTATATTCTCTTTTTTCAAATTGTCTTTCTTGTCACTTACCAGAGATCTTGGCGAGCTTCCTGCCGTGTTTATTGGCTTTCCTCTTCAACCCCACATGTTTTGTCACAAAGAATATTGTTGTTGTTTTTTCTCATTGTACTGCTTGTGGTCTCAGGTTATGATTTATTGTTCAGGTGGACTAAGCTGTTCTCTTCTCTCACACACACACACACACACACACACACACACACACACACACACACACACACACACACACACACACACACACACACTAATTCATTTTAAAATCCTCTTTGAGGCGATTTCCCCTCCGTGTGTCTCCATTTAAGAAATAAATGCATTGATATTCCGTACATGCACAATCACCCTGAAGAACAGGAATCCGCGCCATGCAAGTCTCATAGGTGGGAAAACCGCCTCTTGGGGTTTCTGTGTATGGATGTTTTATTTATTTTCTACTTGCTACCTGAACTATTTTAAAATAAACCATACCGCCACTGTGTATCGAGCTCCTGTTCCTCTGCAAACCATCTGTACAACACCTCGATGAATGTTGACATTGTAAACTGGGGAGCTTGAACATGGAGGCCCTGCTGTCTCCGGTGCGCTCTCACTAATTCACTTTGATCCGCTCTATCAATAACGAATTGTTTTACGCAAGTCGTAGCGTTTTCCAGACGAGATGTGGTTTGATTTGCAAATATGTACGTTGCCGTTCTTATGGTGGGAGTGTATATACATTACCAGCCAGTTTTTTACTTTTAAAGTGTTTTATGCATTTATGCAGTGTTTTATTCATTAGGAAACCATGTGTTCTCTCCAGCTGAACAGAAATCAAAGAAACTTAAATGACTGTAAAATACAACTTCAATCTGCAAGGAAAACGACAGCAGACACCTCGTCTTAAAAAGTAGTTTCAATTGTAAAGATGCTTTTAATAATTACGAAGTGATTGCTACATCAGTTGCTAGGCAACCGTCAGCATTATTGGCAAGTGGAGAAGCCCTGGTAAGGAGATGTTAAATGGAAAGACATGCGATGGGATGTTATGTGCGGAGAAATGTGTGATGTGCCATTGCATGCAGAGTGCCGTGTCCTTTTTTTGTGCTTTATCACAGATTTTGGTGGAAAATGCAGATTTAGGAGGCCAGAATGCTGTTGCTGTTTTACATAATTTACAGCGAGATCATTTTTCTTACTGTCAACTAAGCCTCGTTATGTGTTGACGAAAGCAGGGAGGGTGATTAACCTGTTAACTTCTCCGGAGGTGGTTGCTTTTTCATGCATGTAATGAGGAAGGAAAGGAAGGTAGAATGTAGGGTTGAACATCATTTTATCTTTGTGTAGATGCATAGGCAATGTCTAATGACTACTATTTCTGTCAAATTGGGTAACTTGTTTAGAAAAGAGTGCCATTGGTTTTCTTTCCCCTGTAAAGTTATTCAGCCCATCAACAGCTGTGAGAATTAAGTGCCTGTATGAGTACCAAAGTTTCCCTTTCTAATTTCTTCTTTGAACTGTAATGTGGGGCTTTTTCTTGCTGATAGTTGGAGAAAGGGGAAAGCTTGGCACCTCGTGCAATGTGTGGGAGTCGAAGTAGAAGGTTTTAAAAACACATGCTGTGTAACCCCTCACTGACCTGCCAACACTGGGAATATGGTTAAATGTTGCTGTATGTATAGCAGAGACAAATGTGCTCAGAGGAGTGCCCTTTCTGCTGGCCGTCCCAGGCAATGCATGCAACGCATCTGCAATGTAATGCGGATCAACTCACTGGTGTGGCGTTCCAATTGAGCATCTATTAAAACTGTACCGCCTCAGAAACAACATTATATTTAAAATCCATAGCGCTGACTGAGCCATCAATGAAATGCAATATATCTCCTGTAATTTGTTTTGGAGAGCTTTTAGTGTGTAGCTGTTACGCTTATGTGCCTCTAACTGGGACGACGTGTTTTTAACTGGTGGGAAACGGAGCACTTTGTGTGTGTGTGTGTGTGTGTGTGTGTGTGTGTGTGTGTGTGTGTGTGTGTGTGTGTATGTGTGTGTGTGTGTGTGTGTGTGTGTGTGTGTGTGTGTGTGTGTGTGTGTGTGTGTGTGTGTGTGTGTCCTTTCCTGGGGCCAATGATCTCTGTTCACGCTGGTGTCCACTCACTTGACCAACTAGTTCAATAATTCTTCTTTTTTTTACCTCCTCTTGAACCACGGAGGAGGCTACGCTACATGCTTGCACTGCCGAGTCGCTGATTATCTCTATTGGACCACCGCTCGTCCCCGTTGAATCCACAGGTGCGCTTCATTAACGCGGATCAATAGAAGCACTGCAGCGGATCCCGCTGTCACAGTGTGCAGCCAACAAAGGCAGAAAAATAAACGCATGTTAATGTTCAGCATTTACTGTTCGGTTCACTGAAGTGCTTGGTAATGGGCTGGATCCATTAACGAATCAAAAGGCTCAAATGTCTTCAACTAAAAGCGATTGAGACTGCGCAAGTCGCAATTTTGTTATAATTTTAAAAAGTATTTGTTACTACTTCAAATCTAACAAAGGTGGCCAGCTGTGCAGCAGTGTTGCATTTTTTTTTTTTTTTTTAATCAAAGCAGCATGTGGGGATAAAAAGAAGTCTTGCTGAGAGCTTAAAGCTGGAAACTGACAATTCAAGGAAAATTAAATTGAGTAAAAAAACAAGTGAAACATTCATTGTTCTATATAGCATAACGATGGCCAATATGGAAACTGTGGCACAGACAGTCAAGCTGCATTTACCTGTGTTTGTGTGCACAGCAATTACCTGTGCAGTGATCCATTGGCTCTTTGAGCCGCCCCCCTCCCTACGTCTGATGGCTTCCTGGCAGATGTAGGATGTCTGGCTCCTGCCTCCAGTCTGACTTTAAGAGGAAGGTTTTATGGGTGGCCTGTGATTGCTTCACTCATGTTATGTCATTGTGTTGCGTAAGTCAAGTCCTCAAGGAGATTATTTGTACACTGGTAGATATTTCTTCCCGCCTCGCTGTGGAGACATGTCTTTTCCAGAGTGAGCGGTATTTCGGAGGGACAAGCTCAGAAATTTATGTTTCTGTATAAAAAAAGTATACATTTTCGTAATCTAACAATTCTGCCGCCCTTGCCTCCTGAACAACTGTGCACCTCTCTTTCCATCTCTTTTGTCAGGTGTGTGCGCCATGGCATCTAAACCTCACGCTCCTCTGATGAAGAAGCACAGTCAGACAGACCTGATCAGCCGCCTGAAGAGCCGCAAGATCCTTGGCGTCGGCGGCGAGGATGATGACGGTGAAGTGCACCGCTCAAAGGTCTGATTGAGTCGCATGATTTTGTATTCATGTCATTTTTATCTAATATGTGCAGTGACAGCAGATGCAGATAGCCAGTGGATTGGTGTTCAATCAGTCCCATTGATCACATCGGCGTCCTGACAAAAGCCACTCAACCACAGGAATTCATTAACCCTGAGCAGAGCTATGGATTGCTTTTTTAAAAGCCACAATATGCTGCTAATTTTCTCATCAGTCCCCTCGTGCATTTGCTGTTTATGCCTCAGAGGATCTAGATCACGTAATCCCACGAGCTCCCGCAGCTCCACTGAGATGTGACTGGCTCCCGAGAGGCTCTCGCTGCCCTTTTTTGCATATCGTGTATTCTATTCCTGCCTCGTATAGACGGTGCACACCCAAACCCTGAAGGCACAAATGCCGGTTCATGCAATGAGACTTTAAAGCTGTTCTGTTTCTGTGTTCGGGCACATCAGTCTGCACAGTTGCAGACTCCCCGTAATGTCTTGTTCCATTTCACAAGATTCACAGACTTATTTATTTATTTATTTTTAATCAGATAGCCTTTAAACGAGCATAGGCAGAGCTGACTGTTCCTCACTGAAACATTAATCAGGCGCGTCCCAGTAGGGAGCAAGCATACGGTGGTGCCTCATAGAAAGAGGAGGGGGGGTCGACGACGTCTCCTCCGAAGCTTAGCGTTTTTCTCTCTCAATGTTTTAGCAAGGTGGCTAACCCGGGCATCTGCCACTTGGATCACTTTCACCTCTTACTGGTGGAGAAAAACCTCCATGGCAGTAAATTCGTTTGAGCGGGTCACCCTGGTCAGACGCAGGTTGTATTGATTGAAAGGTGATCCAGCAGTAGCTGGATAGGTGTCCCTGTTTTTTCAATGGGCTGCAGTGACTGGTTGAATTTCTCCTTCCCGCGAGTGATTTGCAGTGAGCGATCCTCTGGATCCGACGTTTAACTGCATGGCGAGCGCTGCCTTGGAAGGGAAACGTTTAACTTTATCGCTGTAAACAAAGGAGGGAAGTTCCCCTGTCGTCAGCTGGCCGTCTCTTCCTGTCTCTTTTACTGCTTGTAGATAAGAAAGCTGTTTCTATTACTTGCACTGCAGTGGGGGGGGGGGGCAACTGTCCCCAGAACCCAGAATGATTGCCCCTTCGTCCCATTTTAACCCACTGGTACTCTACTTTAATGCTCGAGGCCTGGATGAACAACAGAGCCTGAACCCTGAGCCTTCGTAGATGAGGCGACACAATGTTTTTATCGGAGCACTGAGACGTCCGGATTGGTGGCCGCTGTTTAATGCACCAGCTGACCACGTGTTTTGGTGAAAAGGAAATTCTTCTTTCTCTCCTGCGCCTGAATGTTTTTCACGCCTTCCCGCTGATAAGTTGCGCTTTGTTTGCTGAATGAGGGACGACGAGGCCGCGGCACGGCAGCTGCGATTAAGCGCCTCTATCTCCGCAAAGGGCATTGTGCATTTCTTCCTTTTCCTGTCGCTTCCCCTCTCCCCGGCTCCCTTCCGCTGTATCGCACCGCCAGCCGACTCTTTGCCACCGGTTGACGCTCATTTCCCTTCTGAGCGTTTCTCATGCCAGTCGTGAATATCTGTGTTCCCGTCAAACGGCTGCGCAGGAAGGCTGATTCACCTGGTCACATGATCGCAGCTGGCAGGGCCTCGTTCATGACCCTCAATGGCAGGATGGAGGATACGTAATGGGGGGGGGTGAAGCTTCAGCTTCTGTTTAACTTCAAGGGCTCTGATATCAATACTAGCAGCAAGTTTAAAGAAAAATGAGGAACACAGATTGCTTTTTTTAGTTTTTAAGTTAAATTTTTAAGCTCTATTTTTGACATAGAATGATGGTTCTACGAAGCTACCAAGGCCATTAGTATCACTGCATTTGGGATTAGAACGTACCTGGACAACAAAAGATAAGAGCAAAACAATAACGTTGGAAGGAACTTGTGAACATTTTAGGTTTTATTGATGGCGATCATGTTTGGACGTTAAATGCTATTGAACTCATGAGGATGATCTCACATAGTGCAGCAGCTGGTGGACCACCTGTGTGTTCCTGACGCAGTGCTCAGCAATACTTGTTGGGCCTTCACAATGCCAGACACTATTATTTCTATCACAGAAAATCCAAATTGCTAAACTGTTGAACATTAGAGTTGATCTTTCTAGTCTATGTTGTGAACCCTTTTTGTTTCACAGGAGCATCAAGCGGAAAACCACTTTAAAATGATGGCGAGTTCCCTCTGAACACAGCTAGCCAGAAAGTAATTCATCTTCTCTGCTTTGGTGGGTTTCAAGCTTCAGTGGCTCACTGCAACACAAGGGAAGTGTTGCAGCTTCTGAGGGAGGAGATGTTTAATGTTGGAGGAAACGCGCCAATGTAAAGGGAGGGATAAGTCCCCAAGGCCCTGCTTTTGATAAAAGAATAAAACGTTGGCCAAACAGTTGTATTTTATCTGTGGGTTACTGTCTGTCCAGGCAAAATAAATGTGGTGTTTACAAATTGCTTATTTTGTCTGACTGATCTAAAAGTTGCACAAAAAATAAGTAAATCTACAATCTTGGTGGCTGCAACCAGTCAAAAGATGACTATGCCTTTCACGCTTCACATGTGTGGTTCAGTGAGAATATATAAAAGCCAGAGTTGGAAATGCAAGTTGCCAGAGGGTAGCATCCCAGAATCCTCTAGCATCTGATGAAATCTCAACAGTGTGTCAACTCAATATCACTGCGTGACGACATCCATTTTTAACGGAGCGATGTGGTGACCGCTCAAGCCACGTTCACGGTTGCCGGGGTGAAGCCGGCGCTGGTTACCGCGCGCCTCGAAATGACAGCTTGCGTTTAGAGTGCGAGGGCTCTGGGATTTGAGCCTGCACTTGATTACAATTCCTCCTCTGCACCCTGTTGATGGCGGTCTGCCAGTAACATTGGTTGACTTCTCGTCTCCTCGCAGTGTATTTAGTTTGTGCGCCTTGTGTCGTTACAGAGAGCACTACGAGGAGCGTAAACGCCTCCATGCGTGTCTTTACATTGTGCCATCTGTGGAGGTCGATCAGAGTATAAACAAAGCTGCGCCCTCAATCTTCTTGGAGTGATTTAGAAGCGAAGAAATGTAGTTTAATTAGCATCTTATCAGATTCTTATTGACAGTCGGCCGCTCTCCTTCCTGCTTCTATCCCATAGCGAACGTGAAATACGCCTGAACGAAGAGCTCTTTGATTTTTGTGGTGCTTTTGTTGCATGTGGTCGTAACATGTATTTGTTAAAATGACATAATTGCTTTTCCCTTCTCGAAAGTCATTTCCTCTTCTTTTTTTTTTCTTTTGCCTCGTCTGCTCACAGATCAGTCAGATGCTGGGAAATGAGATGAAGTTTGCCGTGCGGGAGCCCCTCGGACTGAGGTGAGAATTCAACTGCTCGGACCAGCTCCGTTAACGCTGTAAGGAGCCGCGTGTGTGCATGTTTTTCTTTTTTGCTTCAGTAAAGGTCAACATCCTGTAAAACAAATGCACATTGAGAAGGGCTTACATAAAGGATGCTGTGTGTCATGGAAGCTCTCTGTTCCCAGGGTGTGGATTCTCATCTCTGCAGTGGCTTTCACAGTTATGGCCGTGATGGTAAGTGCTGCTTGAATCCATTTTGATGGTATCTTGTTTAGGGTGGGGTGACATGATGGTGTATATATTGTGATCTGGGCAGACATGGAGTCCTGTGCAGTTGTAAATGCAGAGCAGAACAGGAGACTCCAAACCAACCCAAGAAAGGATGAGCTATTTTGAAATGAAGGATGTCGGTTTTCGTTTTGCGAATACTCAAATCTGAGAAAGCATGCAAGTTATCTAGATCTTAAATAATTAATTTCTTAAATAAATGACTTACTTACTGTATTGGGTTACGGTCTCTATTAATAGACTTCGATTGAAGGAGAAAAGGCCCTCCTGTTAAAGTATGAGATATGTTTTGCAAACTGAGCAGTGCTTCTTTCCCAACTTATCAGTGAGGCTCATCTGGAGAGAACGGCTTCAGCCACTAAAGCACCGAATTGCTCAATGTCCTCTGTGTTGAGGTCATACACCGTATTTCCATCTCGCAGACAGGGAGACGTTGTCAATGCTGCTGCAGTTTTGGACAGAACGCCTTGGATATGACAGAGTTGTATTGTGCTTGTGTTTTTTTTCCTACACAGGCCCTAGTGTTTCCCAACCAGCTATATGAGGTTGTTTTCGAGGAGGAGCTCTCCACAACTAGCATCTCTGTTCGGCTTTATGGAGGAGCGCTGCTCAGTAAGTCTTCGGTCCTATTCATGCATCTTGGTGCATTACTGCGGTACAGTGAATGTAACGCGACAATGTATTTGTCAGTTCATTCACTGTGCTTCAATGATGCTGACACTCTTTTTAAGATGTATTCATTGCCGCTCACAATAATGTACACTGCTCCGCTGCACACAGTCCTTTTATGTGATCGCTGACTGCTAGCACACAATGACTATAATCCTGCGAGTTTATTCATCATGTCCTCAATCTCAATCAAAAACCGCACAAAGGTTTGGAACGCTAAAAGCAAAAGAATCCATCAAAAAACGCCTGGCCTGATCGGTAATCGGTCCATGGAAATCACGAACGGCGACAACAACAGTCCACATACATGGGCCTTTGTTGTGAACACTTAACTGTGGCCCATACGGTCTCATCAGGCCTTAAGTGCCCTATTGGACTCTGTTGACTCTAAAAACAAATGTCTCAAAGGAAGCCGGCCGTACCAGTTTTCTCTCATCCCACAACTTTGACACCACAAACATGGAGATTATGTAACTGCATATGGCGGAGTCTCCGATATCAATAGGTTGTCGACTGGGTGCGCGGCTTGAAACTGAAGGTTTTTGTTCAAAATCACTTTCTACTGTCTTCAGTGACAGAGGGTTTGTAATCTCTCTGGAGAGGCACAATGTGAGTGTGGTAGAGAGGCGAGGAACTTCAGGTGAAAGTAAGCCGGGAAATGAAGAAGCATGCGCGCAAATGCTTCACAAACATTATTAGGTAGCCAGGTTGTGACTTTAATCTAAATCAGGACATAATGTGTGTCGGAACGACGTACGACCAGAAAATATATAATTTAACGTGTTCTACCTCCACAAGATTGTGTGAATACTAAGAGGAACCCTCAGACGGCACTCTTAACTCATTGTACGACTAACTTGATAAATCTGAAGAAAGCAAGGTCTGAACTAATCAAAAATAACCCTGTGGATGATTACTATGTTTCCTGAGAGTGACCCTTAAACGCACGAACCAGCTCTCATTCTCAACGAAAGGAGGGCTACTTCATTTGAAGTTGTGAAGAGAGCCAAGGATCTCATCTGCTACACAGATGGAACCTGACAGCGAGAGGACTCCATCGATCCGCCCTTCCCACCTTTCTGCCCAACCTTGTTACTTCCATTGCCTAACTTTAGGGTGTGTGTGTGTGTGTGTGTGTTTTGCATGACTGAGCACGGCGTCAATGAGTCAGAGCATTCAACGGATCATCAAACGGCCAATTATCACAGTGCATCACAGTTTACACTTACGCAAAACAGCTACAAATAAACCATTCTCATACGCTGTGGTTGGAAGATCAGCAAAAACAGGACTCTTAAATGTCTGTCTGTATGCCAATGCACCTATAATTTTCTTATCTTTCTTTTATCACATCCCTTTCCAGGCTTGGCCCTGATTATTTGGAATGGTCTCTACACGGCAGAGAAGATCGTCATCCAGTGGACTCTGCTCAGCGAAGCCTGCTACTTTGCCGTCCAGTTTCTTGGTGATTTGATTACTCAATACACTATTTTACCTTATTTTTTTTTTCTTTTCTTTTTTTGTCCCTAGCTGTCACACTTTGAGTTGAGAGCATATTTGTGTTGGTGCTGCCCCCTTGTGGATAGAGTCAGAAGTCACAGCCTCGCATCGTATCAAAGGATAGGTTCACTCGTTTCAGTCATAACATTGCATCACTATAGTCACTATAACCGTTGCTCATGTCGATACTATAACCGGAGAGGCCTTTTACTAATACAATTTCATTGTGAGTCATGGGTGGCACATTCCTCTTGTATGTGGTACAGATACTTCTAAAGGTCAGCTGGAGTCTGTTACATAAATCAAGCTGGTTACAGCCCAAAATCCCCTCTTTGTGTTAATCCCCCTCCAACCGGCTCTGTATGGAAGCGCTGCCCTGGGAAAGGCCAAAAGTCCCATTTTTTACCGCAAGTATTCACTTCACTGACTGTTGCAGATAACCCTTCCAATGTACTAATGGACAAGTTATTGTGCTTAGATTAACCTCCTCTAAAGTGCCTGTTCCTGAGGATTAGAAGAAAAACTTGTTCAATGTAGTAAAAACGATACCGTTAAAATGTTAGGTACTTGATGTGATTCTGTGCTTTCAGTGACGTCCATCACCTTAATGGAGGTTGGCATCCTGCCCAACGCCGCCATTCTTCTGCTCCTCAGTCGGGTGTTCTTCCTGGTGGTCACGTTGGCGTACTACTACCAACTTGGCCGTAAACTGAAGAAGATCTGAGCTGCCTGGTTGACACTTCCAGGGAGGAGGAGGAGGAAGGGGGGGGCAGCTGAGCACAGACGAGGGACCAGAAGGTGTGGAATATTATTTGATCGGGGCTTGGAGCGTTGCCCTGCCGGTGGATGCCCCCTCCCATGGGACCTAGCCTATTGTAACCCCCGAGCATCCAACCGATGAGCACCGTCTCACATTCCAGACTCACCAACAAGATTGAGAATTTCAGCGAAAGTGAATCGCGCTTTGGGAGGTCAAGCCCCTCCTGACGCACACATCCCTCCTTTGTGCAGTTCCCAGAGCTGTTTATAAAGAAGGAGCAAGCAGCTTAAAGGGCATTGCCTTCTGTCATTTAGTTTTTTTATTTTTATTTAATTTGTACAGTGCATCGAATTTGTTTGTGTGCAGCCACGAGATTTCCTGATTCAGTATTTTGTGTTGTCTAAAGTTGCATCTTGACACAACTTCTTAATCGCTCTTGAGCAAAGTGTGTTCCAATTAGTTTCCTGGTCGATGTTTTTGATGTTGACTCATACTCTAGGTTTGCTTAAATGAAGCTTGAATATCTGCTATTGCATGCTTCTCTGACAACGCGTCATTGAACACATAGACTGGAAATGCATCCGCTGCTTCGTGTAAATCCAGATGCAGTTGGATAAGCTAAATGCTGGGTGGGTGATGATGAACCTTTTTCTTATACTGCCGGCAGCTTTCTTGGTCAAAACATTCCTAAAGGTCTGTTTTTATTCCCAATCAACCAAAGTCCTATTTAGATTACTCCAAACAAAATGCTGAATCTAAACGTTTTTCAGGGACATTGTGATTATTGTACTTTATTTTTTATCAGTCAGGAAGTTCGACCCAAGTGAATAGGAATTATTTTTCCTATTTCCTAGAAGTGATTTAGTTCTGCGTGTGTGTGGCAGGACTTCACCCTGAGTGATCTTACAGAAAGTATTTTAACATTCTGACCAATGATTTCACAAGCCGAGCGCGCAAACCTGTGCTGGTTCCTCTTCCTCACCTGATCCTTGGCCTTAAAACTACTCAAAGAACAGTCATCAACACTGCGTCCTACTTGTACATATGTAAATGAAAAGTATTAGCTATTTTGTGGTTTTTGTGTGACGCAAACGGGGAACTTGAGTATTGATAAAATGACTTTTCTGTCAATAAGTGAGATTTCTTGCTGCCACCAACTAGAGCACAAAGCTGATAAATTAAGATGTTAATGGAGGTGAATGGATGAAAGAATTTGCTACAAAAGGCCTAAAGGAACATGCGCATCATTGAACCCATCACTTGACCTTTTACCAAAAAAAACAAAAACCCCATTCAAGACTCATTTTGTAGATGTATTTTGAGTGGAACAAGGAACGTTCTGTCTGCCTCCTCCAAAGGTGGAGGTCCATATTGTTGCAAATGACCACGTTGGGTCCTGCCCTAAAAGGGAGGGGTCCTGAGGTCGGGGTGATTGTGGGTTTGCAGTTGTGAGTCCAGCGCTGACGGCAGATGTGCTTTACATGGGTGAGTTTTCATTTCAAATAGGGGAAACGTGAAGGAGGTCCTCCGTACGCCCTCAAAAGTTGTAATTATATTCTTTTTTTTTTTTTTTCTCCGAGCATTTAATTAGATCCCCCTCCCAAGTGCAATTGTGTGCCCCGACGTACTGCTCGGTCCTGAGTAGCGTTGTAATTATGGAGTTCAGAGGAAAAAATCTTGTTCCATTTTCGTCTGCTACAGGCCTCAAATCATCAGCCCTGTGAGATGTTCGAGGGTCTGTGAGGCGGTTTATTTTAGGAGAGATGGGCAGAAAAAGAGGCGAAGAGACGGCTCTTTGATCCTCCTGCTTCTCTGATGTGAATCAGCTCACATATTACATCGGTTAGTTGTGTCCTTGACGTTTTAGAGTGCTGTTGATTCCCTCTGATGTACATCAAACATTAATTGTACTGTTGTGAATAGCATACCCAGTCAAAATGTTTCAAGTTGTAGCATTGTTTTTATGTATACACGTGCTATATTGTACCTCAAAAATGAATTGTTATGGCTTTCCAAGATTTTAGTTTCAAATAAAGGTAACTGCTGTTTCTTTTGAAGACTGCAAAAGCAATGAAATCCATCCTCATTATTTCTTCTTTATGATAGATCTTTTATTTAAATGGCATGGCTAACGTAACGTACCGTTGACTCATGTGCAGATTACTCCGAGATCGCAATTTCTTACAACCCCACATTATGTGTGACATGTTTATTTTTTCTTAACAAACACTCTAAAACCCAAAGCTTTTCAGTTTACTGTCACATATGGTAAAAAATATTAAGCAAAAGATTATTTGCCATTTTGGGGGGAATGATATCTACTTCTTATATATTTGTGGTTTACACTTTACACAATTTTCCAAATTACGCAACTTTCACATGAGAAATCTTGAGGTTCTGGAAAGTCCACTCATGACTCCTACACCCACTGACAGAAGCTTGAGTAATGCTCCTCTGTGTTGCGGTTTCCCAGCAACAAGGAATTAATTAAAATTGGCACAGGTCTACGTACTTTACAATCACCAATTGCCTTGCCGGCATCAAACGGGATTCCAACTACCTGTATCCTCGAAGAGCCTTCTTCAAAACGCATCCAAACACAGCAAGTCTCAACAAAGAACTACAGAGCTGTTGTTTCACGTCACCAAATGTTTAGTGTTTTTCTTTTTAACTTGGAAGTTTCAACATGTCATAACATGACATCTCCAGGTCTGCGTAAGAGCTTCCCTCCACATACTGCTCAACATCCTCCCTGGTGCCGCCGCGTCCCGCTGGGCAGAAGCTGAAAAGGCTGTTTAAAACATTGTTGTTCAACTGCTTATTAGCAATATACATGAAAAACTAGTTTGTCCCCTTATAGTACGATTTACATGTTAGTTTGTTCCTTAAAAAAAGAAAACAATGAAATGACGACCATAGAACTTACAGAATTGATCATTTGTTAATATATATTTAATACTAATGTATATTATTTGATGCTCTAATGTGTATCACTCTTTATTGTTAGTCTTATATCACAATCTCATAAGTTTGTCATTCTGAATCGTCACATTTATAAATGCAAACAGGACAATATTCTTAAAGCAGCAGATAAAAAGTGGGCAACTTCAGAAATGCGTGAGATGAGACGATACTTTATTATAATAGTTCCAAATGACTTTATTATAAAATGCACCTGTGTGGTCTTGTGAGACCTTCTGTGCACGCGGTGTTTAGTGGCAGGAGGGGGTTAATGGAGCTGCACGCGGGGTGTGAACCCTTTACCACACACACACACACACAGACGGGGACACACACGTCTCGTTTCTCACTGGAGACGCTTTAGTCCTCCGAGCAGAGAGGCCGAATACCGTCGACCCTTCAGCCGCCTTTTATCTGGGAGAAGAATTCAAAGTAAGTTTTTAGCGTCAACTGCGCGTTAACCACGTGCAACTCGTGTAAGTTACTCCGCGTTGTACTTCGCCCTTTTAAAAAACTGTCCGGCTCCTTAAAAAAAAAAGCCTTTTAATGACTACTCGTCCGACAAACTTAACGTGTAGTTCAGCTGTGTCTTTATCCGTTAATGCAAAGCCACCAGGAGCCTAAAACCGACTCGTTTAGTTTATAAGTTCACGTTAGAAACCCGCGGATAATAAAGCGTATGTCAGCGGGTTATTTTTGTCTTCGATAAATCGCAGTGTTCGGTGAACGGTCACGTTGAGTGCAGTTATTCCGCATCTGTTAATGGGTTATTATTGCTATTTAACGTGCTATTTAACGTGCTATTTAACGTGCTTTGGGGTCTTAATAAAGACCGCTGACGTAAAAGCAGCTGTCGCGAGGTCCCGGAAGTGAGACCTGCGGTACATGCTTCACTTTCATGGGGCTATTGTTACATTACCGCCTTTCACTACATAGAATTGGCAGACAGAACATTTTTTTGTTGTTATTAGATGGAGGCATAAACTTCGATGAAGTGTGTTATCGGCGCAAAAATGAGGCTCGTCCCGCAAATATTCAGGTTATGCACATGGGATGTTTAGCTGTCCTATTGTTTTATTCAGATTTGACAGCAAAGGCTTCACATCGTGTTTCATTTCTGAAACCGAAATGCCAGCTGCCTCTGTGCCTTTTGCAGCCCTCTTGCATGTAGCTGAGGTTCTTTAGCAAAATTGTGGTTTGCAAGCAGAAATTCCTATCCGAGCAGACAACTGTTACTCCCTGCTCTGGTTATTTTCCTTGTCCTAGTTTTAGTTTCATTTGGTTTTCCTGCAGAAAAGCCAAGTAGATTCATCCATCCGATAGTGGTGTTTCCATCATATTTTAAGCTCGCTGGGATGGAAACGCTGTTTTTTTTGTTAAATCAGCAGCTTACATCGGCTTAAAGCCCGTATTTTTCACTAGGCCCCATCCTTATTGCTGTATATTTGTTTAATCAAATCAATAATAATATGCTGGTCACACGAACAAAGCAATTATTATTTACCATGGGGTAAGTTGTAGAAGGTGTTATCCTTCGTGTACGTACATCAAGTGCCAAAAGATGATGAGTAAGTAAGAATAAGTTGAGCTCCTTTTCATCTCTGTAACAGATGCTTCATTGTTTTCACAGGATAGTGGGACTTTACATGGTACTGAACTGTGAGAGATTTAGCCCCTTTATTTTATGTCGGGACAGTAAATAGTCTCTAAATGGGCAATCCCCTCCATCCTACGTAATTAGTTTTGACTTATCAACTTTTGAAGCAACCCATGTAATGAAAAATAACCACCACTCCAGATTATGAATGACCGAGAGGGCACTTTACAAAAACAATTGTTTGAAATAATCATTACTAACGACATCACGCACAAAACTTGACTTCCACCCGCAACTTACTCAAAGAAGAAATGCAAATTTCAGTTCAGTCACCAAAATGCTGCTGAGATAATGAGCGACATCCTGTCGGCACAGCGGAACAAACCACGTTGTTGCAGATGTGAAAGCATGTGGAATTAAGAGCTTAATACCCGGCAGGTTTGTGGCAGCCGGGCGGCCTGGGCGATGTGTTAATGGGTCAAATATGAATAGAGTGAGGAGGAGGTGGATGGAGGTTGGCACACTGGCTGTTTTTTAGGCTATAGTTGATCCACGCTGGGTCCATTACGGACACGGCCGATGCCATCTGCCACTAATGCTGCTTTCTTAATCTTCTGTGGGTCCCATGCATGTGTATTTGTCTTTTGTTTTAATTGACTGATTTAGAACACACTGAACACAGATGCGAGCAACTTCTGCCAAATCAGTTGGTGGGAAATGGGATTTTTTTATGATGGGGAAGAAATTACTGAATGAGGTCACAGAGTTTGGAGAGTTCAGGTGACTCATTTTCAGCTTTATTTGAGAGAGTAATTCCATTTTCGGCTCAAGTTGAACCGAAAAGTACCAAAGTACCGCTAAAACCCCTGGTGGACACTTTGCCTCATTGTAGACTAATGGTTCATCTGTGGTTTTATTACGGTGCAGTAATGAATCAGTGGCAACACTACATCTCTTTAACCCTGCAATGTGTGGCGCTAAAGGTTGTCTTAGATAAAACAGACCTAGTGTGTAGATCCGCCCGCTATCACTGCAAAAAAATCAGACGCGTTGTTACCAGAAGACAAAAAGTATGTCGTGCTCAGCCTGCCCAATCAGATCACAGCCCGTTCTCTGCTCTTTCCCCCGCCCACAGCTGGGTCCCGCCCACTTGAGTTGACCCTTGACTGGTTGTATTTTAGACCTTTTTTGACAAAAATGAATCATTGTCACTGGGTTACCAAATGCAATATCCAATCTTGTGATTAATTGACTACATCTCGTGAGTAAATGCACCAGTCCTCCTGAGTCATCGTCTTTTTTCTGCTGTCTCAATTTGGACAATCTTCGTTGTCTTATGATTTCTGCAACGTGTTGAATACCAGCTGTTGCATGAGGTTACTGTTTCTTGGAATCGCAGTTTGGCTCTGCTCTGCATTTCCATTGCAATTTCCAGTCCTTATTTTCAGCTTGGAAAATATTTGTCATTCGCCTTCGGGGAGTGCAGTGCGATCCGGTTTGTCTAGAAAAATAAACCTTTTTTAAAACTGCCCAAAAGTTTACCATATCTGCTGTGAATGTGTGAGTTTGCATGCAAGTTCGGTTAAAAATGTGTATTCATGGTTTGGTTTGGCTTCGCTGCTCACCTCAACATGCTCGGTCAGCTGCTTCAGCATGAGTAGGGCCCTTCCTGTTGTTTCATTTGTTCTTCAAAAAATATAATAAGTGGCATTTAGGGATTGTTGGGGAATTGTTTTCAGATGGAGGGGGGGGTGTTCGTCAACAAACAACGGTTGTCATAACTAAGCCTTTTTTAATCTACAACGCTGCTCACCATCCAGACATAAAACCAGCAATCTCCTTTAGGGATTATCTACTTTGCAGAGCTATCTGCTTTGGGCTTTGTACCCTTTACAGTTTTGTAAACATGAATTATGGTAGTATCTAGGCTATCAAGTGCATTAACAGTATGCATGCGTGGTTATTATCAAGCCCAGCCATCTTTTGACGGGCCTTCTCTACGGATTGTGCCTTCCAGCCAAGCACGGTGGATCCGATAGATATAAAGTCATTATTTAATCCCCCGAATCACTCGTGCTTTTGTGATGTTTCCCAGCAGCTCAAAATGTATTAGTCAGTGAAACTCTTTCAGTGTGATTATTTGCTAATGACCCCCTGAATCTTTGAGATTAGATCTGCCAAATCGCTTTTTGAGAAGAATAATTTAAGCGTTCCAATTTATTTTTTAATAATACATTGCCAACTAAATCATCGGGCAGATATACATTTCGTATGTATGAGGCTGTAGCTAATTTGCAGATGGCCAGAGACGGCAGCTTGGAGAGGATTCATTTCCCTTTTCCTTGCATGTATACAAAGAGATTCTCGGCATCACTAAAGTCCCAGGTTTCTGCCTTCAACAGTTGTACACTGTGTAAAATACAAATACATGCAGACTATTCTAGTCCCGGGGGCCTTGGGAAGAACCTGCAGTTATGATGTAAAAGAGAAAGTGAGAAGAGAAGAGCATGTCATCTGATATTCAGGGAGTTTTCACTGTCGGATATTTTCAGACTCCTCAAATAACCACAATGGCTGGTTATATTTTCAGCCCTCCCAGTGAAGGAAAGGGTCTGGTTGTGGTAAATATATTTGCTTTTGACCTGCGTAGCCCCAGGCTGAGTGGTGTTCCCTATACGGAGCCCACAGGTCTTTCCTTATAGGAACACACTACTCACGGAGTGGTGTCATATGTGTAGGTTGTTGCAACGCGCCCACACCTAAAATGTCCCATCTTAGAATGACACCGTCCAGCCCCCCCAAATTTGACGACATTTCCTGTAAACACTATTTTGAACCCAGTGTTAAACACAGTCGTAGATTGACCTGGTTCCTCTTTTGATAAAAGCGGCAGTAGCATGTCATCATGACATCACCGCTCCCCCCTTTGTGGTGGTCTCTCCTCCCATCCGTCTCACCAGGGTGGTTCCTTTTGTTTGAAAATCACTTAGCTATAGTCTGTCAAAAGTGTACTATGTCGCCGTACAGCCCAAAGATGGGTTGAGCCGTTAAAAGACAAGTGAAATGAGACTGAATTAAATCTAATTTAAACTTTTTTGTTTCCTATGCCCTCAGTACAATGCAACATTTCCTTCTGATGTTTAACTCAACTCTTTATTTATTTCTGTCTTCTAGAAGCGCAGCCATGGGGAAAGGATGCCTCAGAGTCACCAAGTACTTTCTATTTATCTTCAACCTCCTCTTCTTTGTGAGTATTCCCATTTGTTCCACGGTGCTCAGTGACATGACTTGGATTTTGTCAGCAGCTTTATTTACCCAGAGATAGAAAGGCAGCTATGCTGAATTAATGAGACACCCGTGACTTTGTGTTGCTGTCTCTTGGCCTCCGGCACCTACGAATATTGGAGCCACAGTGCGAAATGTGGCTAAAAAGATGCCCGGAGCGAGAGATTGCTCAGCAAAAAAACGCAGACCACAACCTGATGCCAAGAAGGTTGATAAAACTCCAGACGCTTAAAAGTGACTGTGAGGATGTCCAAGCCTTTCCAATTAAACCGTGGCTGTAAACTTGACTTTGATGTGAACACTCAACTGGTGTCTAATGGGAAGCGTGTGTGTGTTTGTCCATGTAGAGGGAGAGCCAGGAAGTGGTGGGCTAATGATGGCTGCCCAACTGTACCTCCTAAACAGGGCTCTAATGACTGTTTTGTGTGTGTGGAGAGGGGGGGGGGGTGGGGATATTGTCCCGCAACTTCTAAACAAGTGCCAATTACATAGTTCAGTTCCTCCTTTCTGGGCTTTCAGTTGCCTGTTACAGAATATTCTGGTCTACAGGTGCTGATTAGACCCCTCTAGCCTTACAACATTATTCAGTTTGCATATCTGATATGGGTGAGTATGACGGATAGATTTGTTGTTCGAGCCTCTCCACATCTTCCTTCTCTCTGCACGTTGCTGTGAGAGAAGGCAGTGAGGAGGTGGGTCCTGATGAAACCCAGATGTGACGGACTGCGGAAACATAAATAAGGCACTCGCTTGAAGACACACCAGGACGGATTCAGTTTGATCCCAGGATCAGACTTGGTGCCTGACTCTCTTCTCTTTCCATCTCCACAGATCTTCGGAGGGTTGATCATGGGCTTCGGCCTGTGGGTCCTCTTTGATAACCAGAGCTTCATCGTTGTTCTACGTAAGTGTTGCAGCACTCACACACACCCACAGTGCTGCTGCCACGTCACTGACGTTTAGGGATAACACTCCCATTTACAAACAGTCAGCCCCTTTGACCTACTCTCAGTTCAGCAGGTCTGAACGCACGAGTATTTGAAAAAGGAGATCGGGGGGGTGTGCTCGTTAAATCCTATAACCATCGGCCCATCTTATGCAGAGCGAGTAGTGAATTCATCTGGGCTTATTACACTTGAACTACGCAGGCATTTTTGGCAACAAACCAAAAATATAACTCACAAATGAAACCTTGACTTCCTCTGCGATGCGGAAGCTTCCCTTTTTAGACTCGCACTGACAGACACAACTGTGGAGAGCCTGGGAATTCGGTTTAGTCAGGGGAGGTGACAGGCCCACCATTACCAAGGCATGTCAACTCGATTAATCGTATGTCAGCGAATAGCGGCTTTATTTTCCCCACTGCTTCCACGGAGTTGCCGTCTCTCTCGGGCTCCCCAGATAGCGGAGGTGCTCGGATAGAATCTCCCACCTTCACAGATCTATTTGTAGACGCTGCATAGTGAAAAAGAAACCAGGCCCTGGATGGCGTTCTCCTTAGAGGCAAAGTTATCTGCTTTGTCATAGAAAACAATATGTCTTACTTAGGTTATCTGCTGTGGAGGCACTGGGGAAGCATAATGAAATCCAGCGCCAGCTGAAAAGAAGCTGTGGATGGAAACTCTTAGTTGCCATAAATCTTGTTAGAAATTCTTTGTGTTCATCCCAGATGGAGCATTGCAGAGAGCACCATTGAGGTTTTCCCCCCAAATCTTTCTATAAAAACGAATTCTTACCATTTATAATCTGGCATCATGTGTCTGAAGCTAAATTTATAGCGTTTTTTTCAATGATACCATGAAACCCTTTTTCTAAAGGAAATTCCCATATGATGCCATGTGCAAAACTACAGTGACTCTGATGATTGTTAACCCGACGACTGTTTATTGGGCCGATCTGAAAGAACTATTGGATTTTTCTAAAAACACATTTGAATAAGAGCGAATTGCCGTCGCTTTTTGAAACCTCTGTTCGCAGTCCATTACTACAGTTGTACGATGAGAAAGGGGCGATCTCTGAGGTCCAAGCAGAGCTGGAGAATTCTATATATAGCCCAAAGGTCTGTGCTGCTTTATCTAATGAATTTTGAAAGAAATTAAGTCACGACAAAGACCAGCCAAAACTGACCTTGTGACCTGAACAGACTGACGCTCGTCTTCCTCTGGATGATTTTTCAGCTCTTGAGGTCAGTTCTCGAGGCATCACTCCAAGGTTAATATTGAGCTCAGTTTGCCTATTTCCAGCGAGGCGGTCCGAATACAAAGGCTGCGCAGTATCCATCATCCCTGCCAAGCCCAGTCCCATTGTTACGATAATCCAGCTGTTCCTCCTGAGATAGCAGAGACCCTGAGGATATCCCTTCCCATCTTGGGCTTGGTGACCTTCTCTCCTCCATATGTTTTTGTTCCATGCGCCCAGAAGAGGTCAACAGCGGCTGCTAACTAACGGATTTCCAACCTCACTGAAAATCTCAAACTGCTCTATAGAGGAAAAAAAATCCCCAAAGCCGCAGGCAATTCTGTTTATTGACTGTGTGCTCCCCTCAGAAGTTGTACCGTTGCCGGACCATAAACAGGATCTCTGTGTTTTTAGTTTCCATTCTTCATGAGTTATATTAATAGAGACCTCTGCAGCTGTCCCAATTGGTTCAGAGAGGGGAGCTCTGGGAATGTTTTGGTTTCGGGACCCCTATTCCTCACTTAAAAGGGCATCTTCCCCTCAGTGCACAGCCCCCTGTATCAATTCAGTGCTGTTAATGGTTTACCTCAGGTCACGTGATGCCTTCGGTTTGTCTTGCAGGCACTTTCCATAGCTCGGCTTGCCTTATGTTTAAACAACAGTCAGCTTCGGAAATAAGGTCCTTGAGCCAGTTTGGAAATATGTTGCAGATTAATTCAGTTTCCAAACTTTCAGGCACATAAAAAACGAAAACTCATTAGGAAATCAGGCAGATGATTATTACTACTTCTATTTACAATTTCAAACCGTATACAAAGTCCCCTCTATACAAGCGGAATGTGAAGCCGTGGTCACGTTTACAGACGGCCATCCAGTACCAAACAGTCTCCCAGATCAGGCTCTCTACATGGAGTATCTATTATGTAACATTGAGCGGTGACCTACATGGAAACAGCGTAGCAGACGACAGAACGGCCTCGCGAACACAAGCTAACTGCCGAAAGTTCACGTGTAACCACAGAACACAGATGCAGTTTCTGTTGCTCTGCAACCTTGATAACGTCGATACACCAGACAGAGGGTCCGCCTGGAAACATTGTTTTGCGTCTTAAATAAAAAAACAGATATACATAAAGCACAGCTTTAATATGTTTCATTGTTAACTAATGATCCTGCACGGTGCTGGAGGAAAAAGTCAACTCCAAAGACTGGCTGTATTGCCGTTAACGTGCCAAATATATTACCAAACGGATTTGATTACTAAACGATTGCTGTGGTCTCGGGGAGAATCGTTTTGAGGTTCCATTATTGTGGCACGGCATTTCCTCAAACTACAGGCTGTATGTTTTTACTGGAACAAGTGTTTAATTGCTGGCCTGCAGGGAAGCTACACACAGCATCTTTCTTTCATCTTTCAGTGATAGTTCCCAATCTGAATAACCATAGAAAAGTGGCTGACCAAATCTCTATTATGTTCATTAAATGTGCTAGAGTCAAATAGTGCTCTACTTTAACATCAATCACTTTTAAGAGAACTCTGGTGCGCCAGTTCTTCCCCTCCTATAAATAGCTAGATATCAATCTGAACCGTCTCCTGCATGCTTTGCTTTGGCAACACTCACGTTCAGTGTGTCTCAATGCTCTGAAAGTCAAATTCCCTTTTTTTAAGAAACGTGCTGACATCTGTTGCGAGAGGAATTGAAATAACACGCTTTAACAGAGTGCCGGATATAGAACATACAACATGCTTATCTGCCTCCCTTTAAATGCTAAATGCTACCCTTCAGCCACATAGATTGTCTGCATATGTTGACTGATGTACTTTTTATTCCTAAACCACCACAACATGTGTTGCTCTACTATTCCATATGGAGTCAGCAATGTACATGCATGCAATTATGTCTTTGTGCGTGCAGTTTCTCCGTGCACGGCACCATTTATGGATAATACATATTTTTGCTGTATTTTGCTAGTAACTGGTGATTCATCTACTGATTATTTTCCCGGTTATGGATTAATCTTTTGGTCTATTGATTGCAAAAAAAAGAGAGAAAGGAAATTAAAATATATATTTTCACAAAGTGAAACATTTGTTGTTTTTATCCTGTAGATATTCAAGGAGAAGCTCGAACTAAAACATAGTTTGGGTTTTTTCTACAGGAACTACTTTATCCCCAAAAAATGTTGCTGCAATTTCATACATTTGATACAAATGTTTGTACATTAACTTTATCATTGTGGAGTTGTATAATTCTCATTGTGCACGCGTGTGTACTGTATGTGGTGTTTACTTCCTGTAACATAAAGTAGCTAATGTGATGAGGGAAGTCGAGAAGCACCATTGCATTATGTTCATCGAGGACGGGTGGAGGAGCTGCTGTGTCTGTCAACTTCTCACCCAAATGAGATGGGACACAGTTATGTAGTTTGGCCCAGGAATCTATCAGTGTTGGAGCCACTTCACAGAGCTCAGATTCTGGCTCCATCTGCGGGCCGAGCTCCGACTCTCTGGAGCTCCTCCAGCACAGATAACACAAAGCCACATGGCTGCAGTTTATCTCCCCTCCAACCTCACAGTCCTCCATTATTGGTCCCTCCCCCACTGTGCAGCTCTCCATAAGGAAGAGGGAAATCAATTAATCTCTGTTCACATTAGTTAGAGAATAGCAGCAGAAGTAGATGGTTTTGCTTGTGAACATTTTTTGTCTTGATGTAACCAACTTTATCCAAATGATTTAGCGTGTGAACCAGGCTTTCCATCTGCTTGCAGACACACGGTGGTTAAAGTAGAAAAACAAGAGATCATTTGCTGATATTCAGTCAGGAAAAAAAAACATGTGTGATAGCATTTTGTGTGTTTTTTTTCTGCATTGAGTAGAAACTGCAAACTGTTGCTTTAAAAATACTGCAGCAGGTGTTTGGATTAGAGCGTCCATGCAGGTTTCAGTGGTTCCATGTACATTAAACTCCTGTGGTTTCTGTCTGTATTCATGTGTTTCTCCAGAGGAATCGTCAGACACAGTGAAAGTGGCCTCTTACATTCTCGTCGGAGTGGGTTCCCTGTCCATGGCCATGGGCTTCTTCGGCTGCATCGGAGCCATCTACGAAGTCCGCTGTCTGCTGGGTCTGGTGAGGAAGCACGTTCACTTTGAGCACCACTCCTGACGCGCTGCGGCTTGGGCAGTTTCAAAAACTAAATGTGCATGTGAAACGCTAGCGTCATCCCCGGCCGTGGTTTTACCTTTTTTATTCACCCTCTGCTGTGTTTAGCGCTCAAATCAACCAGTTGCCTCTACCCGGTCCTTCGGCGACACACTAGTGGATATATTGTATTGTAGCCACTCGTGAAATATTCAGCTAAATGCACCTGCTTGAGATCTCAAGCTCTCTATGAGCTCAGGACAGATTCCTGCTGACAGTAAAGCTCTTTTGCGTTTATGCCGGGGTCCAGCATGTGTGGACTTACGGAGGGGAGGGGGTGACCGGGATAAAGCCAGGGAGATGTAGGGGGGTACAACTGAAGTGGGTATGGGTGCATAACCTCTACAGTGATAAACCTGCTAGGGGTTAACTAAGGAACTGCTGTGACCTACTTTTCCCAGAGACCAGCTGGCATAGCCCCCCCCTCCTCCCCCATCACGGAAACACATGCACTTTTTCACCCAGGATCATTAATGGCTTGCATTATTCTTGCGGAAAGTCTTGGAGATTAAAGACTCTAAATGCAGATTAAGAGTTTAAATGAAAGGTAGAAATAGTTTTTTGTTCTGCTTGTGTGTTCGAAACTTCAATAACTTAATTTTTGAGCCAGAAACTATTTGTGGACTTTACATTGACATATTTCTTTTTGAATGTGCAACATTCAGCATTTATGCTAAATTATCTTTTTTTGGAGATTTGAATGCGAGTCCAATGTGTAGTCTCATTTCTTTTTTTATTCTCTAGTAATTCCTGATGAAAATATCTCTTTAGCTTATATTATACCCACTTAAAAACAATGAAATCTAATTTGAGAAAGGAGATTATTGATTTCCTTCAGCGTTGACTGTGTTTTAATCATAAATGTTGTTATTCTGACATTTCCCTTTATTCCCTGCAGTACTTCACCTGCCTGCTGCTCATCCTCATCGCCCAGGTCACCGCTGGAGTTCTCATCTACTTCCAAAGAGATCGGGTGAGACACTCGCTCCATAATGTACTTTATCTGTTTATCCCCGAACTTTTATTTCTCTGTTTACTCTATTTGTTTTTGTCTCTTTTTTTTCTTCTTCTTTTTACTTTCGGTCTTCCGCCCGCTCTTCCGGGGGCCTTCTGGGTATTTGGTAATAGTCCTTTCCGCTTTCACAGTTTTGATCGGCTGCATTTAGATTTGCAGCTGAAGCTGTGAGGAAGCCCTTTGCATCCTGTGATGAAACCCAGTTTTTTACCTCAACAAGTGGAACGTGACGCTGTGTCGGATTGTGACTTGAAGTAGAAAGTGAGATGAAGCAGGTGGAGTGAGGTAGAAGTGTGACAGCTGCAGAGGATTTAGCCATCTGAATGTTTCCGTTGTCTTTTTTCCCTCTGGGTGTTTTTTTCATGGTGTGTATGGTTGCTAAAGCTGCCGTCATGTGATGCATTTTGTGTTCTGTCGAAACCTCATCTATAACAGCAATTATCACCCTGGAGACAAAAAGCGCTTTCTCCTGAAGTATTAATGAAACGATGCCCTCTACAGGCGAGATGAAATGAGCAGACTCGATTGAGTCGACTCTCGGCCCGTTTGGTATTCTTTTTCAATCCATCATTTATTAGTGCCTAATTAATTTGTACAGCAGAGTCTGATTCTGCATGAAAATCCTATAAAATGATGCAGGTCGATCAGACTCAGGCAGCGAAGCCCGGCGTGGACCGACCCAGATCCGCTTCCGACCGGAGGAGGAGAGCTCCGTGCCTTGCTGGCGGCAGCGTCTCCTCCTGCGCTTCCCTGCTAGGATTCGACACTGAGACCTCACTGCTGGGGGCGAAGGTCATATCGTTGGGCCCGCTGGAGGGAAAGGAAAGGAACCAAAACCAGCAGTCCACGGGGCCGGCAATATCAACACAATGTGGGATTTGGGGTGTTTAATTTTAGCTGAAGGCTGAAGTGTTCCTATTGTTTCACTTCCCCAGATAAATAAATGAATTCGTAACCTGCTGGGTTATCGAAATAAAGACATTGTCAGCCAAAGCTGAAAACAAGGATGTTATTATGAACTCAAATTTCACAAGACTGCGGTAATATACAATGTGTGCTGAGCACTGACACACAATAATAACATAAACATGCATATCACAAAGAGTTCCTATTGCTAAGAGACCAGTCCAGCAGCTAGTACCAGAAAAACCCACATTACATCCGTAAGGATGCGCCTTTAATAACCGCGCCCAAACCCGCATGTTTGCACTGTGCACGTGGAGGGAGTGTTTGGTTTGAAACACACACCTTCCCATAGGACACAATTAGTCTTTCCTTTTAAAAAGTCTGACACCTGTAGCACCGCGTCTGCACGGAGGCTGTCGTAACCCTCTCAGCGGTCAGCCCTCCAGCATGTGTGTGTGTGTGTGTGCGTTTGTGTTCTTCTCCGAGAGGCCGCGTGCGTCCGCGGCCTTCAGAAGCGCTCCCTGTGTTTGAGGCCCACCACGAGGCGAGGCGGGGCCCGTTTCCCAGAATAGCGAGAGGCCTTCGCTCGTCTCCTGCGGGGCCCTGAAGACGCGCTCTGCGGTCCTCGCACACATAAACACAGCGCTGTGCTCTTACTACTTGGCCCATGTTTCAGCCGGGCATGTGACTTCAAAGGGAAATGCCACCCGAGTTGTCGCCCCCGACAAACATTAGGTTCAGATGTACAATTTTAGAAAAGATTTAGCGTGGGCGTGTTTGTTTTCTTTTCCTCGCCACCGCCTCGCTACGAACGTTGTTTCTGTGTAGTTGTGAAGCGTAAATGGTGTTTGATGATGTATTCTTCTCTCATGCGCAGTTAAAACACGAAATGTCCAACATCATGAAGGGCATGATCATCAACTACACCGGCCAGAATAGGACCACAGAGCACAGCTGGGACTACGTTCAGAAGACGGTGAGTCGACCCTTCAGCCCGGTTTGAACGAGACACGCCCACAAGTCTGATGTCGACGGAAGCAGCTAGATGCACCACCTGTTGGGATGAGGTGTCCGTCTGAATTCGATGATCCTTTTAGTTTGAAAACAGCCATGACACCATGCTAATATTGCCGTAACTTTATAATGTTCCCCATAGAGGTCGGATCACCAGATGTTTACATGCGTTTCTCTCACAATATGAGTGCATACATTTAGAGACATGTTTCCTGTGTGAATTCAACTTGTATTCGTTCAGTGCTACTCTCATGTTCTTCTCATTATAAGTCTCGTCCACACTCAGCAAAGCAAGAAGGGAAAGTTGTGCACACATGTTTGACTGCACCGCTGGCCTCCTAGTCGCATCATTTAAATGGCCTCAACTAGCTACTTTTGCTACGTATGCCATGGAGCATTTTGGTTACAAAGGAGACCAAATGCGTTTCTTTTTCACCAAGTGGAGGATATTGTTGCTGCTGGAAATGACAATGAAATCTTTGACTGTCTTCAGGAAATACTCAGAGGCCAATCTACGATGTCACTTTTTTTAAGTATCCCAAGTGGTAACTATGTAGACATTTTTATATTTTTTAAGCCCAGGTTTTTAAATTTGTTTAAAAGTTTTCTGCCTCCATGCCATTACAATATGAGGGATTGGAATTTTATTGAAGGCGCAATATCTAAAATAGTGAGCATTTGATTGCCTCTCAACGCTGTTGGGCCAGAGTAGCTTTTTTTTGCTCTAGTACTGCTCTGAATCTTAAGTGCAGCTCTTTTAAACGGCTGTTGAAGCCATTAGGAAATTACGTGTGGAGAACAAACAAAATTCCATCCACTTTTATTGTTTCGGGCAGGCAGAAGTTTCAAAGGATATCTTAAAATCGTGGCACATGAAATTTGACCTATTTCCACAATCACACACTTCAGTTTTCTTCTTACTAACAAAGAGCCATTAAACAAATCTGCCCATTGCAAATAAAAAGCATGTTTGAATCGAGCTGAAATCTGAGTTCTGATAAAGTTGATACATTTTCTTCTCCTCCCTCCTTCTTTCTCGCCATCTTGCCAATCCTCTTCTCCCCCGATCTTTCTGAGGAACAGCAGCCAAGAACAGATTGGTCTCATTCCCCACAATAGAAACGTGTTAGAAATGTGAACCGATGCATTTGATAGTTTTTCCATCATCCCATTTATTCCAAGAATCATTTCCTTCTTGCCTCCCTTTCCTCCGTCATGTATTTTGTACGATTTAAATCCTTCTGCTTTATCTCCTCTAATCATTCCACTCGCCTCCTCTCCTTTCCTTCATGCCACCAGATGAAGTGCTGTGGATGGACTGGTCCAGGCAACTGGTCTGAGAACATACTGATCAAGAACAGCTCCCTGAACCTCTACTCGTGTTCCTGTCGCAATGAATCCCTCCCTGGCACGGACGTCAGGGAAGTAGGCCTCTGTCAGCGTCTGTCTGCAGAAGCGCCCATCTACGAAACGGTACACGGCAAATCTTTACAACTCCTATGAGTATGAGTCACAATATCTTAAAGCGATACCTCAATGGCAAATAAAACATTCATTCAAATGCGTTTCTGTCTTTTCCCATTTGATGCCATGATTCCGCGTCAGTAGATCCCCATGTATGGGAACATCAGGGAATGCCAGCATTAGTCCCGCGCGGTGTTATTTCCGCTGGGTGACGGGTGCTGCAACACGCCGGCCACCATTGTTCCAACAGACCTTACGCCTCCGCTCGCGACTTGTTTGTGTAACTCCGGCTCGCTGTGCCCCGGCGGTGGCACTTCATCAACGCAGTGAATACCAACAGCTGAGGCGTGTTTGTGCTGTGTGATTTGATCAAACACCGGGGGAAGGTCTACTGTTCTGCTGTTTGCGCTGAGGGTTGTCAGAAACTGGACTCTCGCTCACGCGCGCGCACAGCTTGTCCGTGTTATTCTTTCCCTCACGGACTCAGTCCAAAGACAACAGGCGTGCTTTGTGAAAGGCTCTGTTCGCGTCCGGCTCAGATCACGTAGCCATTCGTCTCTCCTCCACACTTTGGCCTCCATGTTTTTTGTTTTTTTTAAATCTCTCCCTGTCTTTTTCTCTCCTAGGGCTGTTTAGCCAGTGTGGAGAAATGGCTCCTGGAAAACTGTGGAGTTATTCTGGGAATCTGTGTCAGTGTGGCAGTCATAGAGGTATCTATCTCTCCCCAGACTAACCTAAAAGAATAACACAGATAATAAAGCACAGATGCTGGTATTGTAATGCCTACTATATATTAATACGTTAGGCAAAAGAACCCGGTTGCTAGTTTCACCATCTTTTCAAAGTGGAGTCTTAATGTAGCCCGTAAAATATGTGTTTGGAGTGACGTATGCACAAAAAAAACCCTACATGTCATTATTACATTGTTCTCCATTGTTTAATGCTCCCTCTCCCCCTCTGTTCTCGTTTGATAACCGGAGGGGTACCGTCTCCTACTGTTTATTCTGAAGAACGGCCTCGTCATACTCATGTAACGATAAACACGGCGGCTCTGTGGCGTTCTGTTTGAGGGAGTTCTCCCCGGGTCAATTTCAACTGATGACTACGTTGACGTCTCTTTTTTCCTGCAGCTCCTCGGGATGATCCTCTCCATGTGTCTTTGCAAGAGCGTCGTCCAGGAGGATTATACCAAAGTACCCAAGTACTGAGCTTCACACCACGCACAGATGGATGGACTCCTTCCCCTTCTTTCTGTCTCTTTTCTACACAGACACCTCTCAAAGTTCCAACACAACTTATTGGACTATTCTTGTCTTATCATTTCATGTTTTTTAAGGAGACATTTATTGTGTATTTTTGTTAATGACCGAGAGTTATTTGATAAAACGCAAATGTTTGTTTAGGATTTGTTTTTGTTTTCCTTGGCGGACCTCAATGAATAGCTCATAATAGTTAGTAGCGAGAGCACTTTAGTGACATTTGGGACACACTGTAAGATGAGAGGGGCGCGGTGGGTGGGTGGGTGCATGGTGGACAATCCCCAGGATTGATGCCACTTTGTATTTCTGGTGTGGAGGGCGGAGGAGAGGGCAGGGCTGCTGCTGTGGAGGTTCTGGCTTCTGTCATCAGCTCCTTGTACCCAGAAGCCCTGATATTAACCTCCCTTTACACCCGTCATCATGGCCTCCTCCTTCCTCCCTCCATCTGTTATCCTGTCTGCCCTCCTCTCGGGTGTGTCTGACTGTAGCTCTGGAAAATGGCTACTTTGGCCTGAAGTTAGTGTATTTTTTATTTCTAATTTTATAGTCTCATGACATCATATCTTCTTTTTTACATCTGTGTATATATGACTGGTGAGGGCTTGGTCAGCGTTTTATAGGAGAAAGCTGTCACCCACATGCTCTAGTTTTAAGCGTGCTATTGTTTCCTCTCAGTTGTTAATGCTGTACTGAATGTGGTGGCCACAGCGGCACTATTTGGGTATGAATCTGAGAAATTTGATCCTTCAGAGTGAATCTGTCATCACTAATGAAGCTGTATTTTAATTTCTTTATCATTGCGTGAGTTTTACTGAGAAACGTAGCTTGCAGTGATTGCAACACCAGAGGCAGCCATGAGCACGTTCTATCAAATCATGCTCATGTTTTACACCAACGTTGCTTTGACTTCCCCCTGCCCACTCGTCATCTCAGTTCCTCTCCTTCTAACACGCTATTATTGAAAAAGGTGTTAAAAAAAGGTCATAACAGTCAGCATATATTTAATGGGCTGCCAAAATGAAACTTTAATTTATCTTAATGAGAGATGAAGGCTTTTTATTGTGTGTTTAAGGTATTTTTTCACTTTTACAAAAAAAAGGAATATTGTTTAGTAGAATATAGAAAGATGTGTGTTTGTTTTTATTATCGAGGATCATTAATAAACCCTAACCCAGTAGAATCCATCTCGCATTCCTTCAATTCTGTTAATCATTGCTGACAGAACTTGACTGATTTTCTGCCAGGAAGGTTCCGCTTCGCTCGTTCTCTTGGTAACTTCCAAACCCCACCAGAAGATGGCACTATATATTCAGGAGCCAAACGCTCAAGCAGACATGCATGCGAGTAAAAGCTCAATTTTATAAAGCTGCAGGTTTCATCATGAGCTTCATTCTAAAGAAATAACATTTCATTACCTTCCTAGTTTTACACCCATCCGAATATTCATTACATTTGTATGTGGATTATTTCCCTGTGTGTTCTTGTTTTGTGTGTATTTTGTTATTTTAGTCTGACTACCGTGTGGCAGAACAGAACAGAGTTCCACGTCCATTCATTTCATTACACACTAAACACTATTTCGGCACTGACCTTGCTGCTCTTTCCAGCTATTATTAACCTCAGTGTAATAAGTACAGCTTAGTGTTCTCTCAGGAGACCCTTTTCAAATAACTCAATATAGCCACATCTCATCGGGGAGCGTTGGCCATGCTCAGTGCTTCAGGCGCCAAATATCAACTTCTCACTGTAACACAATGTTGGGCTCCAGAAAGAGACTTTCCACAGTCTGGATCATTAAAGCTCCCAAACATGTTCCTGGACTGAAGAAAGGGTCATCTGGCAAACGAAGAAGAACGAAGAATGTGACAAAGAACACAAGTTTCGTAAAGGACATTGTTGATACACCCTGTTGACATTCTATCAATGTTTAGTCATAGTCAGCAACAACCACCATATGACCACCAAGCCCAAAAAATGATAACTGCTAAATCACAAAAAACGTTGGGAATGGAGGAGGGAAATGTGGTAAGGATTGCGGTTGATCATTTTTAATATACCTTTTTGGGTCTGGATGCCCCCCCCCCCCTCCCCGCACACACATATATATATATATATATAATGTAGACACACACATCAGGCTGTGGTGTCATTCTGTCCACACCTAATGAGGAAGGAAAGCTTCCTGTTTTTTTCCACACGGCTGTCAGTCAGAGAGTCGAGGGCAGAGGAAGTGGGAGCGATGATGATGATGATCCCGCTGAGACGCAATTAAATAAAAGTATGAATAATGAAGATGTTCGAGTAAAAGTAACCTGCAGTGAAAAGAATATGCTGATTTGAAAAGCGAGTGTCCTTTGTAAGACTCTCCTTCCTTCCTTCCTTAACAAAGAGCATACATGCACTGTGCAGAGCTCACGCATACAGGCGTGATGTATGTTCCATCAGGACGTCCTCTCTGTCCCTATTTGTCTCCTTACCGGCGTCTTCTTTTTAGTTAGCCTTCTGCTCATCCAACACATATGGTGTGGGGGGCGGGGCGGGGGGGGGGGTCTCTGCAGCTGTTGTGCTCTTCCTCTCGTGCATCCTGTTCACATGTCCCCACACGCCCCTCAGCCACCCTACAATGGACGCCACCTCCACCTGCACACTGACCTGTCTGGATGCCCCCCCCCCTCCCCGCACAGACCCTCGCTGGCTTTCCTGTTTTTGAATCTTGCGGGGTCGTACTTAAATGAAAACCCGCCTGATAGATGTGTGGAATGAAACAACGTTCAGGGCTTTTCCATTGTCTGCTGCAGATTACCTGAACCCCGAGGAGCTCTTGTCAGAAATGAGCAGTATGAGTCACAGTGAGTATGAGACAATCAGCCCAGTTCCATTAGCTGTTTAAATTGTTTCTGTGACAGGCAGAGAGCCAGCGAGGGGCTGCAGGTCAGCGGGTGTCCTCCGCCTCGTTTCCTGCCCAGCAGCTTGGACCAGAGGAGGTTTGTACCCCGGATCGCCCTCAGACCCACCCTCCTTTCTCCTGCTTCTTCTTCGTCACAAGCTCTTCTCTCCATGTGGCCTCTATGGCCGGCGGACAGTAGAGACCTCTGAAATCACTCGGCTGCAGCTGCACCGCCCTGTCGAGCGCCGGTGAACACCAGCAATATGGGTTTGTGAAAACACACAGTTTTTCACTCCTGCCTGGAGAGATGAGAAGTATGGACTGAGCCCGAAAGCTGCTGTGTGCACATTTCCCACAGATTCCACAAAACCGCTTCCACAGAAAGCAATATATCCATTGGTAGAAGTATAAAAAGTACTCTACTTGAGTAAACTCCATCATTTTACCTTTTAACTCCACATTTCTTCTCACAGCTTTCGATAAGGTGCGTGAATCATATGTTGGTTTGAAAGGCTTTGCTGCATCCTTCCAGTGAAGACAATATATTTGTTGAGATGAGATCATTATTTGTACAGTGTTGCATTACTGCATCTGTTACTTTAACTCAAAACCTGGTTTTGTAATCATACATATTCCTCCATTATATATTTAAAGATGAAGTTATTAGAGATGATTAGTCGATTAATCAACTAATACAATGACAAATAACTATCTCAATAATTTATTCATGTTGGTGTCTTTTATGATAAGATTTCGTTTTACACTGTTGGTCTGACAAGACCAGACATTTAAATGATTCACTATTAGTTCTGGGAAACTGATTAATTGATAAGGAAAGTCATTTTTAGTTACATTTGTATCACTTAGAATAACCTTGAGTTAATTAAAACCTCAGCGATTTAACTTCCAGGCTCTGTGGATGAGTCTTAATTAGATTTGATCGACAAATGCCCCAGGCAATATGTTGCATGACATCACCCGCATAACACAAAAACCTCCTGTGACAACCAATCGTTTGGCTAAAGAAGGACACGTCCGTTACCTAAGACTAGTTATTAAATAGTAATTAAAGTAAAAGGTCTGAATCCTCCTCCACCGTCTACTTCTCAGGGAAATCACACACTCTACCAGCTGTAGTTAGTATCTTTTGCTGTTCACACCTGAGAGCTGTGCGAAAGGTGTTAATCATCTCTCATTGTGTCCATCACTACTTCATTATAACACTGTAATCTTTTGTACCAAACTGAACCTTAATATTGTATTGTATACTTCCAGTGTGTGTGTGTGTGTGTGTGTGTGTGTGTGTGTACATGCCCACTGTACCTTTGTGTGCTTGAGTGGGAGTGTATGTCTGATCTGATGAATGAGGGCGGCAGTGGAGGCAGGGCTGCCCTGATTGGAGCTGCAGTCAGCACTGGGCTTCTCATTAACCTATGATAATGCACCTGTCACCTTGATACAAAAGCCTGGCAGCACATTTGTTGCGGATGGCTGTTCTCGCCTCTTCCTCGCTTTTTTTTTTTCTTCTTTCCTTCGCCTCCCCGCTCCATCCGTCTCCTTCTGTTTCCATCTTCTCTCTCAAAGGCTTCTGCCCTGCTGTACCCTGGCACACACGTAAAGCAAGCCCCATCGTTTGGAGAGTCTTGCTGACATCGGGCCAAAGCTGCAAAGAGCAGATGGAGGTTGTTGTGTGTGTATTTCTCTCTCTATACCTCTACTGAACGCAGCAGCTGAAGTATTTAATAGGATCTGTGTTCACTAACGCACCAGGACCTCAACTGTTCCACGTTTCATGGCTGCGTGGACTACGAATCCAACTACCCCTCCACACGGCCGTACGAATCATTACGCCACAAGAAGATTTAGTATGTCGGAATGTATAATAAATACAGTGTGCCAAAAATAACGGGATCTCCAAACTCACAGACTTTGATGCGCATTCCCGCAAAGTCTGTGAGGGTTTAGGGTCTGTGCGCTGTCGAATCAATTAGTGTTTGGTGGCTCGCTGGCAGATGCTTTCAGCCCTTTGTGGACCTTTTTTCTGGGTCCGCAATTCTGCTCACTTTGCACAAGGAAATTAACCACCATTTATAGCAATGGGACGTTAAACAGGGTGGTTACCAGGAGACGCGTGGAGACGTGACAAAGGAAGGCAAGCCAAGAGCACGGTGCATGGGGGTTTGATGTTGAAGGATTAAAGAAAAACACGTGAAATCTGAGGATGAAAGCAGCGATTATACTACACAGATTTATTATGCAAACATTCAATTTTATCAGATGTTTTGAAATATGAAATGACTTATTCTCTTTTAAAGGAAAGAGCCTTGAGTCCAAAGTAAAAAATAAACACCACCAATTACACATCACACTTTTTCACGTTGTCATGGAAACCGGATATGTTGTAGATATGTGGATTACACTGCAGTATGTAGAAAGAGTGTGTGATTGTCTCCAGTATGCGTTTCCTTTTGTATCACGCAACAAAGTGTGGTTGCACCAGCTATATTATTAGTGTTTAAAGTACTTATTTATTTATTTACCTATTAATGTCATTTATTGTTTGGCAGGGCAAATACAGCCTACAGAGGAGTTTACATTGCTTGCTAACATACATTTGTAGCCTGCGTCATCTCATCAAAAGCTGTTAACGGAAAACATGAAGTCAGTTTAGCCTCAGAACTTTTAGATATATTGATCCTCAGCACCAATCCTAAATGTACGTTTATTTTTGTTTCATGTAAAAACACTTATCCTACTTCTGGCTATTTCCATAATGTACTTACATGCAAGTAGAAGTACTACCATGTGAAAGTATGTATACAAACTCTTACTGATACTGCTGAGTAGTATCTGTATGCTGTGTTCTGCTGTAAACATTTAGTGACAGCTAATCTTAGCAAACATATTTCAAAGGTTGAACTTTTGAAGGACTGGTGTGACCGGCTCCAGTAGTCTGTGTCCTTTCATAATATCGTTCTTCAAGTCATTTTTTCCTCAGCTCGTCCACCAGATGTCTACTTTACTCCCTGCAGCCGGTTCCAGTCGGTTTTCTTTGCTCTCCAGAGGGCCTGTGTGTGATTTATTTATCCTATCTGCACATTGGGTGCCAGGAACACACCCGGGGAGCACACAGGACTTCGGGAATGCTGCCTTGTGCCGCTGGAGAGTGTCGAGAGAGGGAGAGGACTCGCTGGACGGACAGTAAATCAGTCCGGACCTGAGGATCTGCAGCATGTAAAGTCGGGACTTCTTCGTAGGACGCAAAGGGAGGCTGTGTTTGGTTCTGGGGTCTTTGGG